AAAAAACAGAAACAATATTATTTAAAGGAAAAAAAAAAAAAAAAAACATAAAACAGAATGCAAGTGCCAAAACGTTACCTACCCACACAGTTTCACAAGGTGCAGCGATTTGATGGTGCAATCGACAGGCCAGGGGGAGGGGTTTGGGTCGGTTCTGGATGAGGTGAGAATTTGGGGGTTTGGAGCTACCCTTAATCGACTAGGGTTTGAAATAACCCCCTCTGTGAAATGGGTTTTTTTTTTTTAAATTATTTTGTCGCAATTTAATCGACTAAATAACAATTGTAGTCGATTAAACCACCCCGAAATTTAATCGACTAAGAGGGATTTTTAGTCGATTAAATTTCAATCATCATTTTTTCTGTATTTTGACCATTTAGTCGATTAAAAATTTATCTTAATCGACTAAAGGGGTGCAGGATGGTGGATAGTTTGGGGGTAGGGGCAAATTGGTTATTAATTAATTAATGAGGAGCAAAAGGGTCAAAAGGCCGAGGGAACTAACCTTGGATATTTTCAACGAAATAATGCTTAATATGTGAGTGTGATAGTCGATTAACAGTTGATTGACTTCTGTGTGTCTGAATGTAATATTTTTGGATCAAAGAATTCATGATAGTCAGGTTTTACCTCACCGTTGTTATCTGTTGTGTTTCTTTTTCTTTTTTCTTTTTATCTCTCTCCACTTTTTCCACTCATTAAAATCTGAAACTGCACGATTCATACAATTTCTAATTATTTGGATTTCTGCAATTAGTCAATTTTGAATATAGTTGGCTGGTATGGTCTCATTGTCAACCTTTAGAAAATGGTTTCCATTTGGTTCTAAGAATATTGTTTGCGCCTGTCATTGTTTGATTGATGATTGATCTTAGCAGAGTCTTCTCTGTTGGCTTGTTTTGTGTAAAGCATAAAAGTAAGTTTTCATTCTTCCAATTAAGCTTCCTGAAAATTCCTGTTCTCACCTAGTGGAACTGAATTATGAGCAAAATATTTAAAAATATTGCTGTTTAAGACAGAATATTTTTCCGTTCTTCAACATGTTTTGCAACTATGCTTACCTGCTTTGTGATCTTATTTAGTGCGTGCAATGGCATGTCAACTGCAACTACATTGCTACTGGCTCCAGTGACAAAACAGTTCGACTATGGGATGTGCAGAGTGGGAAGTGTGTCCGGGTTTTCGTAGGTCACAGGGGTATGATTTTGGCTTTGGCAATGTCTCCTGATGGTCGCTATATGGCATCTGGTGATGAAGATGGCACAATCATGATGTGGGACCTCTCTAGTGGCCGCTGTCTCACACCTTTGATTGGTCACACGTCATGTGTCTGGTCACTCGGTTTCAGGTGATCTCCCCCAGCAGTCGAAAATCAAAATATAGCTTAATTCATCATAAGGAAATTAAAGGTCTTTGAGGTTGCCTATCACCGTCTTAACACTACTTATTTATTATTGTTGGATGTATCAGCTGTGAAGGTTCTGTTCTAGCATCTGGATCTGCAGATTGCACTGTAAAATTATGGGATGTGAATACGAGCATTAAAGTTCCAAGGACTGAAGAAAAGTAAGTTTTTCTAATATGACAATACATAATTGTCTCTACAGGAATTTCTGTTCATATGGTAGGACTGACTGAATAACTTTTTACTTCGTTAGCAGAAGTGGGAATACTAACAGACTCAGATCGCTGAAAACCCTGCCAACCAAGTCTACACCAGTTTACTCTTTGCGGGTAAGTTCTCTGATTCTTTAGTGCGTGGTTACTTGTTTGTCATGGATAATGTAGATATATCTCTGAGTATTCAATCATATTATGTGATACTTGTATTCTGTTCTTGGAAGCAGTTTTCTCGAAGGAATCTTCTTTTTGCAGCTGGAGCTCTTGCAAAAAGTGGCTAATTTATTCTGAGTATGTCTACAAATATTAGATCGAAGTCTGAGGGCCTAAAAAACAATGTGCACCATCTCTATCAAAACTATGTACATGTTATTTACACAGGCCTGTAAATTTTGCTATAGTAAAATTACCGAACTGGAGAATTACGATCGTATTGACTTTGTTTCTTCTCCATTATTTTTGGATCCCAACAGATTTTCTGTATGAGTTTTTTTATTGCCGCAGTTATAAATATTAAAACGCCCATGTGCGTGTCATGTAATATTTGATTGTAAGAAAAAAAATTTTTATATAAAAGCAGGCCCTGCCGTGATTGGTTGCAATAATAACATTGGGAGGTTAAGAAGTTTGGAAATAAACCATAAATTCAAACCAGTTTCTTATACCTCTTCTCGATCTGTATGATGATGACATGGATACCATACTGTCTTAACTCACGATGATCGGTATATTTCTTGATTGTTAAATGTAGCAGAATGGTAGAGCTGTTAAAAAGGATTATGGTGTATAGGTTATGAAGCACCGACACTTCAAAAATCTCTCTGTGTCATGTTTGACACTTTTCGACACTCCTCGGCATTTCAACGCGCGTTGTAAAAACTCGACAAAAGGTTGTGTTGTGTTGTGTTGCATTTTTAGTTCTAACTATTAGATTCGTTGGATTACTATTATCATTTTATTGAATTTAATATAAATATTTGTGATATCTTATATTTTTTTGTAAAATTAATGTGTATTATAAGTTTAACTTTATTTTTATTTTTAAATTATTGAATATTAAATATAATATATGCAACATAAATTAAAAATATTATTCAATATCAAAGTGTGTCCTAACGTGTCGAAATTTAATATTTTTTAGAATTAAAGTGTCTGAGTGTCGTGTCCCATGTCGGTATCGGTGCTACATAGTCTATACGTTAGCCCTAAAGACACATATTTACCCTTAATCTCCAGATTTACGTTGTGATAGAAATTTTTAAAATATATAGTACTATTTAATCACATGACAGTTATGTTATGTCACTTCAAAACTACGTCGTTTTAAGAGTTAGGAGAATTAATAAAAGATGTTTTGATATTTTTTTTGTTTATTTATTATTTAATTTTATGAAAATATTTTTAATTAATTCCTCTCACTCCTGAAATGACGTAATTTTAGAGTGACATGACATAACCTTATATCATGTGACATGACAAATGATAAACTCAATATATATATATATATATATATATATATATATGTGTGTGTGTGTGTGTGTATGGGTATATATAATAAATATATATTTTAACAATTTAATAAGAATTTATTTTTAGAAAAAAAATTGTTTCATTTTATGATTATTTTTATATAATATTTCAAATTATATATATATATATATATATATATGTATGTAATACTTGAAGGGATAGGATATTGTGACACACAAATAATGTTACGCACAATCTTACGACCACATCTTAACCGTTGATTTCCGCCAATCAACGGTTATTATTTATTGCGAATTAATAATTAATTAATGAATTTGATTTGAAAAATGATAACCGTTGATTGGCGAAAATCAACGGTTAAGATGTGGTCGTAACATTGTGCGTAACATTATTTGTGTGTCACAATATCCTATCCCATTCTTGAAAATGCACTTGTATCAAAATTTAAATAATTTAAAAAAGATAAATTTATATTATAATATCAATTTAGATTCTATGAATCATATAAATTTGAATCAATATATCTGACAGGTTAAACAAATGTTATTTGATTACCAAAAAAAAAACAAATGTTATTAATTTGTCAAATAATCAATAATTAATAAAATGCAAGTAGGGGTATAAATAGGCTAAACGACCAATAAGAGGCCTGTTATTTGGCCTCCGTTGGGTCAAGCCATGACTAATATGTATTTAATAAAATAAATTAGGCTCGGGCCTCGAAGAAAATTTGTTTAGCAAAATATGGCCTATACTTACTTGTACAAAGTCTAGCCCATTAGTCTCTAGGTCGGCAAATATCATATTTTTATTTTAATTCGCCAATCCCTAAAATAGACTACGTAATGTACTTTATCCGCTGGGTTATGGGTAGGTGGACATTTTACCAGAGGTTTATATAAAAAAAAAATTATATTGTTTTTTCTAACTCTTAATAGATATAAAAGGCCTGATAAGCTTAAACAGACTAATAAACTTAAATTAAACTTTTTATTTTTGAAATATAGATCAGGTTAAGCTCATACTCTAGCTTATACTAGATTAATATGCCAAGTCAAGATTAAAATATTTTACATAAATCTGATATATTTAGACCAAAGCTTAGTCTGACCCAACTCATTTATACCTCTAGGTGCGAGGATAATTCGTAAGGGAATAATCTAATTTAACGTATCATATTATGTGATGAATCTTAATTATTCAATAAAAAAGTAATGGTCACAATTTTATTGTCAATCTATAAAATAAAAAAAATTCAAATTAATTGCTAATTATTGATTTGTTGTTAAATAATTGAGATTTTGATATTTTGAATGGATATTTGAATTAATTGCTAATAATTGATTTGTTACTTTTAAATCTTTCTCTTTTCCTATTAAACAAAATGATAAACGCTCAGTCGCTCAGCATTTGTTTTCAAGATATTTTAACTAGATATTCAAATTAATTGCTAATCATTGATTTGTTATTAAATAGTTGAGATTTTCATGTGAAAAAAATATTTGTCCTTTTAAATGAGAGGGCGATTATACTTACTATTATTTTAGCCTTAATACTGTTACTTAATTCTTGATTGATTACTATTGGATCAAATTGAAATCAATGATTTAAAAATGAGAAAAATTAACTATTGTTAATTTCAAATTGATCCAACGATAACGAACGAGATATTAATAGTAAGGTTAAAATGATAGTACATATAACATTTCCATATATATATATATATATATATATATATATATATATATATATATATATATATTATTTCATTACAAAAATCAAATTATGAAAACTAATATTTTATATAAAATATTTTTTAAAAATATTAAATAATTATATATTTAAATAATTTTTAATAATCCAATAAAAGAGAGAAATTTTTTGAGATTGTAACTTTAAATGTCTATCAAGAGGTAACCCTAACCCATAGAGTTGAGATTGTAACTTTAAATGATCAAGAGGTTAACCCTAACCCATAAGAGTTTTTTTTGGAGCTTTGGCCTAGCAAGATTTTTAGCCCTTACCCACGAAGACCTTAACCTAATGGGGCGGGTTGGCGGTTCTCACTGCAGCCATACATTACACAATCCTCATAAACGATACTTCAGATATGCTTCTTTCTGGTCTTGTGTTCTCTGCAAATTGAAAATTCGAGACACGCCTGAGGAATTCTCCAAAAGTCGAAGCATTTGAATACCCACGAATGGTTCCCACGATGAACAAACTCCATTCTAAATTGCCAAAATCCAAAACTGAAATACTCCACAAACATAAAGAATGAGAAAGTGATGTTTTTAAATTACTTGCAAACAACACATTGCATACAAGGCAAATAACCATGTTAATTACTACATGAGTTAGCCACTTTATAAAAATCCAACCATATCTCAATTTTTCTACAGAAGGTTGAAATGTTTCCACAAACCTGAAGTAATTGTTTTTCTCTGCCTTTTCTAGCATTTCCAATCATTAAGATTTTTTGTCAGCTACCATGGCAATCCAGGGGCGGTTTTTGCTTTCTCTTCATCAACTAACTGAACTAGTAGCACAGGCACAAACATAACATAATTCAGCAAAACATAAAATGCACAATCTGCTCAATCCTTATTTTGGGTGCATCCAATACCTCATCCTAAATCTGTATGAAAAATTACTAACGAACCCTAAATTAAATGTCATTTCAGAGTAACTATATCTATAAGTCAATGCAAGTCCAAAACAAAATTATTAAATGTTCAAGGCAGATGGAATGCATTCTTGATGATTTGGACAGAAAAAAAGAGTAATCATAGCTCTAAAAGCACCCAAATGAAACTTATTAAAACATTGTATCATAATCAACAACTCAAGCACCTCTTCTACATTATGTGCTACTACGTACATGATCTGATCCTCCTATTTCCTTCTGCAACTTTAACCTGCAGACAGTAATCAACCAAGAACAAAAATATTAATAATAATAACAATAATAATAGGTATGATCATTACAAACGATCGCAAGAACAAGAATCATGAAAGTGATTATGGAAATGATGATCAATTGATACATTTTCTCACATTGAAAATGTATCAATTGTGAAGTTATTATCATGAAAGTGTTAATGGAAGATTATAATTTTGAATGATCTCATTCATTCTTTATATTTGTCATTTCTGTAGTACTTTTGACGTAAAAAAAGTTATTTTTCCGGGAGTGAGAATAAATTTTGTGATATTAGTTTTTAATTTTAAGAATGTATTTATTCCCCATCAAATGGTACCAGCACTTGTCTCTTCCTGGTTTTCATTGTTCAAATGACAGGAAATTCGAGCTTGGAGCAGTTCAATGGCAACATAAGTGAAGATTGGGAATAAACACTGGTCACTGAGGGAAGAGGAAGAACGACTAGCAGGAGCAGTTCTAAGTCCAAGACTAGTTGAAAGACTATGAAATGTCATCACGGTGAAGAAATGAGGGAAGAACGGCTAGGAAGGGCAGTTCTAAGTCCAAGAATAGTTGAAAGAGAATGCAATGACATCACAGTAAAGAAATTGGACACATCAGGTTTGATCTTATGAAACTTGAATTTTGTATTTTCTGAATGAATGAACTACAATAAGCTAACTCCTAAAATATATAGGAGTGCATGAAAGCTGAACATACAAAGAAGAAAAGAAATATAAGCAAACTGACTTCACAGACTCTGAATAACAGAACTAACAAATAAAAAACTGCCTAACAAGAAATGGTTGGACTCTTCTCCATGTCCACTTGTTCAAGCTATTGACCGTTTGTGTGAATATCAGCATGTGAATTTTGAATAGACTACGTTAACACCCCCCCGCAAGTGGGACGATGGATGTCTTAAAGTCCCAACTAGGAGATGATGGAATGGAAGGGAGTAGGAAACAAGGGCTTCGTGAATACATCTGCAAGTCGCCCATAAGAGAAAACTGGAAGGAGATGAATGAGATTTGTACCAATTTTCTCACGAACAATATGACAATCTATTTCCACATGTTTAGTACGCTCAAGAAACGTAGGATTGTGAGCAAGGTAAATAGCTAAAGAGTTATCACAAAAAACTGAAGCAGGTTGGTCCAAAGGAAGATGAAGGTCGCAAAGTAAATAAGCAACCCATTGTAGTTTGCAAGTGAGGCTGGCCAATATCTGCCCTATATTCTGCCTCGCAAGAGAAACAAGACACGGTGGTCTTTTTTTTATTTCTAGGAGACCAATGCATTACCAAGGAAGACACAATGACATGTAACTAACCTCTGAGTGTCTGCGCAACATGCCCAATCGAAGTTTGAATAACCAGAAAACTTTAGGAATTCTCAGCAAGAAAGAATAAACTAGTCCCTGACGAATTTTTTATGTAACATAACACAAGGTGTGTTGCATCAAGGTGAACATTTGTGGGGGCAGATACAAATTGACTCATTGTTGGACCGGAAAGCAAATATCTGGTCTTTTAATTGTTAAGTACAAAAGGCAACCAACTAAGCTCCGATGAGAAGAAACATTGGACAAAGGCAACCCAGAAGAGCGACTGAGCTTGAGAGATGAATCCATGGGAGTTGAAACAGGCTTGGTAGCAAGCATTCCACTATCAGAGAGGAGCTCAAGGGTGTACTTGCATTGAATTAACAATTCTTAGAACGTGAAATCTCAAGACCAAGAAACAATATAAGGGACCCGAGATTTTTGATACGAAACTACTGATCAAGAAAAGATTTGACACGCTTTATCTCTGACATGTCATTACCAGCGAGGACAATGTTGTCCACATACACTAGTAGTGCAACGGAGAAAGAGTCACGGTGAAGTATATAAAAAGAGAATAATCTGTTGAAGACTAAACACGTCCCAAAGAACACAAAGCTAAAGTAAGCTGAGCGTGCCATTGACGACTTCCTTGTTTAAGTCCATAGAGGGACTGAAAGAAAAAGATGGCTAAATAATCACACGAGGAAGGGTGAATTGTGAGTTACTTCTTTTGTAAGAAACAATGAAAAACACAACCCTTTTGTTTCAATTTCAACCAAAGACAAAATTCAGAGAGTATAAACATTTTCCAAAGACAAAACAAAATCAAAACATATCATATAACATATAATTCAGAAATTAAACAGCGGAATCAAAATTAGAAGGGAAAAGTGATCAAAATCAATGTAATTCAATACCTTTTTCAAGAAAATATTCAAAAACGAAATCAAACAGGAAACTAATGATTCCCATACCTTAAACAGAATCAATATAACATTTATAATCCAGAAAATAAGTTATAAGTATTGAAATCATAGAGATAAGATAAAAAAGAATCACACCGGGATATATCCTGGTTCAGTCTCTAACCACTTGAGAACTACATCCAGACTGAGGTCGATCGTTCCACTATCATCAAGCTTCCAAGAGGTGCTTGAAGAAACCTTTTTACAATCGAAATTTTACAAGTCTATGATCACACCTTAATCACACTCAACTTAAGCTCATAGGATCACTCCAATTGTCTCACCAACAATTACAGCAACACAAATCGTTGAAACAGATGTAGGGCAGCCTCCCCATATTCAGAATTCTCAAAAAGATCAGAAAAAAAAAGAAACGAGAGAGTAATTGAGATTTTTCTCAAGGATATGCAAAACTAGCTTAAATCGGGTTAATTCTTGAATTTCTGAGTTCTAGTGCTTTTCTGTGATTAAACTTAGTTCAGAACTCCTAAAAAGTGTTTATATATGACCCTTATCGAGTTACTAGCTGTTTATAGCTGTTGTATATCTAATTATGTCATTAACTTCGTGTTTAAATAACTTTGTATAAGTTGTAATCGATTATGCCTCGACATATAATCAGTTAAACCTTCATGGCTTCATGTAATGCATTAAAGTAATCGATTCATGTAATCTATTACAAGATTATGTGGTAACCGATTAAACCAGCACAAATGATTACTTTCTTTGCTGTTTTTCGATTCTAATCACTTCTAAATGTTTTCTAATGACTTCTAACATGTGTATGATCATGTCTCACACTTATATAACAACTTTCCATGTGTGTATGATCTTGTATGCATGATCAATGTGTGTGTCACTAATGCACGAGTTTATGACTTATTAATGCAATCCTCAAGATAAAGTTCAATAAACTCATTTCTACAAGTTCTATGACTTAAAATATCTATTACAACAATGTAAGTCTAAGCCTTCATTAATCTTCAGTTTTCTTCGTACTTTGAGCCTTCTAGTAGCTTGTATGACTTGAAAACATTGACTTCAAGTTTGACTTTACACATTTGAGTAGCCTAATCATTTTTGTACTTTGCTTTGGTCTTCTTAGAGAATTTGGAACTTGTTGTTATGCCTTTCAATGTGTTTATCCATGTTGAGCTATTTGGTGTTTTATAATCATCAAAACTTCACTTTCTTGGTCTTGGTGACCTATGGTTCAACAGGGACTTCAATAATTTATAGACCTGACTCGGCTTTTCATTTAAATCCCCATGCAAGAAGGCGTTATTAACATATAGTTGCTCAAGAACCATTGATAATAAGTTTCGAAGAATAGTTAACTTCGCCACTAGAGAAAAGGTGTCGAAGTAAGCAATTCCTTCAACCTAAGTATAGCCTTTTACAACTAAGCGCGCCTTATGTCTTTTAATAGATCCATCAAGATTGAACTTAATTTTATAAACTCCATTATGCCTTATGTTTTGGTATTTAGGTTAGTAAGAGTCATAAGTCAGAATATGGTGTAAGGAGTAATGAATATAAGAGGATATACTTTGGGTAAGATTGCAATGAAAGTCACGAAGGTATGAAGGTGGATTTCTTTATCTAGATAATCAATGAGGTAAGGGATTAGATGTGTTACGGGAAGGTTGTGAGGGTGGATCTGTAACAGGTTGATTTGAAGATGTGTCAGTGATAGGAATATTTAACACAGGTTGAGTGAGAGGATGTGTTGTTGTATCACGATAAGATGGATAGGTGGTGGTTTCAGGAAATATGGTAATAGAAGTGTGGCATGGATTGGTTGAATGAGTAAGTTTAGAAAAAAGAAAAGTAAGTTCATAGAATATAGTGTTTCGAGAAACAAAAAAATTTCTAGAAAAAAGGTCATATAAGACATACCCATTTGTACCTTCTTGGTTACCAAGGTAAGCGCATTTGCGAGCTCTGAGGGGAAGTTTATGTCTGGTGAAGGCAATGTAAATGCATAAGAAAAGCAGCCAAAGATGCTTATATCACTAAGAATATGAGCCTTCTAGTAAAGCATCACATATAGGCAATTGTGACGTAGTAATGGAGTAGGGAGCCTGTTGATCAAAAAGACAGAATGAATAACAACATAACACCAGATAGACTTTGGCAGATTAGCTTAAAAGGCAAGTGCTCGAGTCATTTTTAATATATGCTGGTGTTTGCGCTCCACCAACCCATTTTGCTGTTGGGTTTCCACACAACTAGTTTGAAGTATACCCTTGTTCGCATAAAACTCATACATCATGAACTCTTTCCCATTATCAATTTGAACGGTTTTTAAAGTTGTGTCAAACTGATCTTCAACAAATGAAACAAATCTTGTAGGTGCTTTTGGGTCTCACTCTTTTGTGTCATTAATTTAACCCACGTAAAACGAGTAAAGTCATCAACAAGAGTTAAAAATTATTTATGCCCATGAATACATGCAAGAGTTCAAAACCTCTAGTAGTCTATGACTTACTTGAAGGACCAAAAGTCATTTTTGTTTAGCAAAGTGACAAATGTCACATGATTTTACATGTACATCAGGAATGAAAGGAAAATGAACATAAATCTTCTTTAAAATGGTCTATGATGTGTGCCCTAAACGAAGGTGCCACAACAAAGGATCACAATCCTCATTACATTATGAACTAAAAGTATGTACAAGTTGTAAATCTCGAATAGTGCAAAAGAAATACGAACAGTACTAGAATACAATGCAGATACATGAGAGCCATTTGGTAAATTAACAAGAATAGGTTTAATCTTGTTAATGGATGAAAACATATAAGGCAAATAAATGATCTGATTTGTAGCACCTGTATCTAAAAGCCAATGAATCAAAATCGTACCTGCAAAAGAGAAAGGCACTTCACTTGACTTCAAGGCTTGTGCCATGTTAGTAGCATGTGCAGCCTTTGATTGCTGCATGTAATTCATCAAATTCTTGATATTGCTCCTTCGAGATTGACACTCCTGGATATGGAATTTCTATACTATTTTCCTCTGTTGCTTGAACCACGTAATTTGCTTTGTGGTTTTGTTAAGGATTCTTGGATCTAAAATTTTGAAGTAGCATGTGTCAATAATATGATTCATTTTCTTACAATGGGTGCAAAATTTGTTACTTGTACCTTGTCCTTTGCCTGCATTCGTTCACCTTCTCCCTCTATACGAAGAGCTACGATCTCGAAAGTTTCCTGATGAACTTGAAAAAATCTTGGTTTCATTATTGCCTCTATCATGTGGCTCTGACGGGAATTGCCTTTCTAATTGCACAACTAAAGAAAAAGGCTTGTTTACATCTGCAAGAGGATTCATCAGCATAATTTGAGAACAAACGTGCGAAAATTCTTCATTGAGTCCTCTCAAAAATCTTATTACATAATCACCATCTCTGTACTCGCACATCTAAGTTAGAGTGCTGCAAGTGCATCCAGGAAGTGGTATCAGATTGCTCAACTCGTCCCATAACGTTTTCAAGTTTGTGAAGTAATTGGTTACAGATCTATCACCTTGGTTCATCTTGTATATTTCCTCCTGCAAATTTGATATCCTAAACATGTCAGATTGAGAAAATTTGTCATGTAAATCATTCCAAACCTCATACGCCTTGTCTATCCAAAGTATGGATTGAACTATATTGTTTGCTATTGAACGATGAAGCCATCCCTACACCATTGTGTTGCACCTTTCCCATGTTGGGAATGTCGGGTCTGTTTCCAATGGAGAAGTAATGCTGTCATTAACAAATGCTAGCTTGTTTTTCAATCTGAGAGCCACTGTCATTGCTTGTGACCATTATGGTAATTTCTTTTATTCAACAATGGTGATACAAGAACCAACGAAGGAGATTTGTTATGATGAAGAAAGAAAGGATCAGAAAGTTGATTTTGATATGCCTAGTTGAGAGTAGCAAGAAAGAAGAAGATCAATAAATGGAAGGTATCAGCGGAAGAGAAATATACCAGAGCCCTCAAGAGAGATATGATATCATCTTATGAAAATTGAATTTTTTTTATTTTCTGAATGAATGAATTACAATGATCTGACTCCTAAAAGATATAGGAGTGCATGAAAGCTAAACGTACAAAGAAGAAAAGAAAAATAAGCAAATTGACTTAACAGACTCTGAATAACAAAACTAACAAATTGGAAACTGCCTAACAAGAAATGGTTGGACTCTTCTCCATTTCCACATGTTCAAGCTGTTGACCGTTAATCATGTGAATTTTTAATATGATATGTTAACAATTGATATGGCATAATTGTTAAATTAATCATTGAGATTATATTTCTCCAGTAGAAGAGGAACCGTTTTGCGCCCAACAGTAGAAATAGTCACTCTCTAAGTTGTTTTTCTCTTGGATAGCCATAGTCCAAAATAAAAAAGGCTTCAAACAGATAGGAAAAAGGGAGACGAGCCGAACGAGACCTTTTCGAACCATAACAGAGCACTGTAGGGAGGCGCGTGGCTTGCATGCGTTGTATGGTGGCTGCGCTTGGGGCGGACGCTCCGTCCTTTCTTTGTCGCGTGCGAGCGCGTGGCTCAGCAGAATCTGGTGGTCTTTCTTGGAACTTGTAGATCGGCTCCTGTTTCAAAAGGTGTGGGTCTTGCCGAAAATATTGCCAAAAAGTATTTTCGATGCTACTGACGGTGGCTAACGGCAGTGGTGGAAGGCTGGGATTCGGCCGAATTTTGCTCTTGGGACTTTGTAGGAAGCGGAAAACAACCTTAACAATGGCTTGGAGTTGAGTTTTCCAGCGATGTGCCGCCAGTTTGACGATGGTTGTGGTGGCTGAGTATTCTCAGGACCAACCTGCTCTTGATACCATATTGAGAGATGTAAGACAAAAGCTTTTCTGATTTGATACAATTTGATTTACACTGAAAGAGTATATTTATACAAGAGTAAATGAGAAAAAAATGGAAACAAATTCAAATCCCTATTAAAGAAAAAAATAAATCTTTAATTAATAGGCTATAAATCAGGGATATGATTGCATCCCAAATAAAAACAGAAAGATTCTAATCCTGATTTTCTGCATAATATTGGCATCACAGTCAATGGTTTGGCTAAGCCAGCCTTGATTGATTTCTGAATATTTGAATATGGTGGTTGGTATTTGGGTATATTCCTAATCTATGTTATAGGACCAAGACTTAAGTCTTGATTGAAAATCTCATTAATACTCGAAAAAGCTTCCACTTGAAAGGGAAAATATGTTATATACTTGAGAAGAACATTTTGCGATCACCTACGATGATTACACAATAAATGCACTCTTGGAACGTGTCAAAATAATTACACCTAGAAAAACATGAACATATAGACTAAGCATATGTCAAGTGATCATGGGAAACTCAAACCAAAGGCCTTCATCACTAAATTAAAAACCACAATAAATGAACTTAGCATTACATCTCATTCCAAAACATTAAGCTTAAGAGTCTTTTTACTTATATGGTTCTTAATCCATTCTTAATAAATATAGCACTTCATCACTCATACTTGAATCCCCAACATAATTACCACTATTTACCTCTCAAGCTATGCATCCATCCTTTTACTAACCTGTAAATTGTTCTTGTGAAAAGTGAAAAGTTTCAACCAAGTAACTAGTAGACAAAGATTCTAAACATTAGCTTTTAAACATAAGTAAAAAGAACAATAGACAATCGAATTTACAACTATAGCCTTATTAATCACCATTTGACTGTCTAAATATAAGAAGCGGTCAATGATGATGTATTATACAACATGATTTTTTTCCAACAAGGCATAGATAATATAATTTGCACAATGACTACCTGCCAGCATAAATTCATAAGATGAAGCAGGTATATAAAAGAAAACATAAAGACGTGGACTCATAATTAAAATACTCACTAGGAGCTTCAAAAGAAGATTCAGTTGAGGCCCTTAATTAGCCAACCAGGGAAAATATCAAAATACTACAAAACCCAGTACCTATTGAGTTGGAGCTTGAAACAAAAGCTAATAATATGACACAAGCAAACTATAAACAAAATAATATCAACTGACATGCCTAATACTCAACTGACATAAAGACGTGGACACAGTAAAAATACTTACTAGGAGCTTCAAAAGAAGATTCAGTTGAAGCCCTTAACTACCCAACCAGGAAAAAAAACTACAAAACCCATTACCTATTGAATTGGATATTGAAACAGAAATTAATAATATGACACAAGCAAACTATAAACCAAAAATTGATCAACTGATATGCCTAATACTCAATTAAATGATCCAACATGGATTGAAAATGAAAAAGGACACAATTTCAAGGGAAACTCTTTGGAAGATCAAAACACAATATTTACCAGTTATAACTTTCTTAAGTCGATTTTGAAATGAAAATGAATCAAATAACTGATATGTTAATTAACTTTTTTGTTGAATTTACACGCTTCCACATAGAATGTTGAAAATATACAAGTCAGAATGCATTCAAGTGTAATCCATATGTAAAACAGTTATTTGTGAGTATAAAGTTCTGTATTTTATACCAAATACAAGACATGGAATCATAATGTTCGAATCAATTTTCACTAGGTCCAAAAGTTATACAATGTAAAAGGTTGCATGAATTTACTTGGGTGGCACAGTAAAACTTGCTTAACTGAGCTGTTGGGAACAAGTAGTTTGGACTTTAAGACCAATAAAAATATTATTAGATGCATGAAGAGCAATCTATAACCTACAAAACAATACTCTTCTTCTGTGAATGATATGTTTTTCTTTGAAACATTGATGAGGGGGGAAATAAGTACTAAATCAATTGATTGTTGTATATGAACAATGCTTACAGGAGTCATCACCATATATTCATTTTTCCAAAGGCTTTTTCAAACCAAATTGAAAGACAAAAGATAAGTATGAAAAGATATCCATTAATTGACAATACATTTATAAACAAGTAAGTCGGATATAGGAATTGCAAATATTATGAAGTAAATAAGTGTCCCTCAATGCCCTAGACTTGTTAGTCTCTGATTCATTTGTCAACCTAAAATCATTTGCAAAATAATATAAAGTTAATTTAGCATTTAGTAACATGAAACTTCTGACTCATACAGATATTTGAAAGAAACATAAGTCATACTCTCATTTTAGACTCTTTATAAATAAAGGTATAATCATGATACATCTAATCATATATAGAAAGGGTTTGTCTATTCTTAGGAGAGAGCATATCTTATGCTAAGACACAAAATGATGGGACCCACCACTAAAAAAAAGAAAAAAGAAAATAGCAGCACACTTATCGAACTGTCTATGGCATACGATAGTAGTCTCCTACAACATGAGACTACTATTTCCCATATAGAAAAGGATGGTGCATATTCTTCAGATCATAAACTTTGAATTGAACCTGAAGAGCTCCTCCCATAATAAACTAAAATTGTAAGCATATCCCCCAGATACTTCTCCTTTTTCCAATACATCTACAGTCTTTTAAGTTGTCTTCTTGCTTACGGGAGTGTAGATATTGTCTCCATCAAAGGATAACCATAAGACATGTGAAAAGGACAGCTGACACATTATTTAGAGATAAAGCTCCAGAAAAACAAATTATAAGGCTATTAAATAAGCATTAATAGAAACTTCAAATTCCAATTTGAATTTAATAACTGCAAAACCTTTGTTGTATTAAAAATGATTATTCGTAATTTAAATATATAATAATTAATTATCACAGAAGTGCTGTAAAACCAACCGAAATATATATATATATATATATATATATAGACCCAAAAATAATTTTTTTAAATTAGCAATATGTAGACACAGAAAAAAATAGTCTCCAATAAACTCAATATAAAAAGGAAATAATTGAATTCATTGTTAACCTTCATAATTGAATTTACATTTTAAAGCACGGCAGGAATATGGTGTTAGATTGTTTTAAAAGGTAACGACTAAGCTTACCAAAGAGAGAGATGGAGGGGGGAAGAGAGGCAAAGACATGTTAAATTGGAAACCTTTACAATAAAAAATTGATGCTGCCTGCATGATTCACAATAAAAAACATGTTAGTCCCAAATTCCCAATTCATTTATGATTCAACAAGGAACTACAACGAGGCACAGTCTAAACTATTTCTGATATATAATAGAAAAAGGAAAGGGGGGAGGAAGATCAGAGGAGTGGAAACACTGAAAAAACCAAACAAAACCACTCCCCCATCAAAGTTACCATATGGGGTGAGGGCAATCCTTCCTTGTACACTTACCCTCGTATGCTTTACCTTGTATATTTGCTTACCGGTAAGCAAATATATTTGTAAAGAGGTTGTTGGATTCGAACCTATGACCTTCTAGAAACACCAAAAACACTTAACAAAATCATAATGGTATATAGAAGGTTATCTGCGAAGAAATAAGAATGGTCCAAGCCTATGCTTATATATATCTGCATCAAACTCAAAAAGAAAAATTAGGATAAATTAAGCTTGAGTAGAATATCAACCGTTATCACGACCAAGGTTTTTATTTCCACATTAGATCATACGATATGATTAAAAAGAAAAAGAAAAAAGAATGTAATACGATTGGTCAAGAAAATCCCTGAATTAGTGAAGTGAGAGGAAGAGCAAATATTAGAGGTCGGAGGAAAAAAATGATGCTTAAACTCTCAAACAATTTGTAGTGTTAGACTCAGCACAAACAACCCTACAGTTAATTTAATAGGTTTTATCAGATAAAACCAATGAAACCGTAAAAAAACCCATTTGAAATTCCAAATGTCCGAGAAACTAGAAGGGAACAAACAGTACCACTTACCGAGTAAGGGAACCTTGTGCGCATGCGCGAGAATTATAAAATATGGAAAGGGATGAATATCAAATGAGGAAGATGATGATTGCTAGGGAGCTAGCAACTAGCAACGACGAGAAGAAAATTTGTGAGGACCATACTATATGATGACGTGAATCATCCCATGCTATGCTATATATGCATTTATATTTCATTCTGCGAGGCTGGGGACCTAGGGTCATCAAAAGTCACGCTTTTCATTTAATAATTGATAATATTAAATTGAATCCTGAGTAGTGGCTAAAATATAATATAATCAAGCTATTAGGATTGTTTTAGATTGATCTAGTTATAAGATTTGGATAATTTTTATTAGATTATGTATGTTCAATTTTTATATAAAAATATATATAATATAATCAATATGAGAATAAAAATTCAAACATTAGTAAAAGATGAAAATGGGAAAACATACAAGCGTCGAAGCGCCACAGTGCCTTTCACTGTTCCATAAATGATATGTAACCTGTTGCAGTCGGTATTCTTCATCAGCTCCATCATTGTGTCCAGAGAGAAAGAGAGAGCGGGTTGAAGGTGGGTTTGTGATTGGGATTGGAACAAGCAGAGCCACATAGTGTTTCCCGGCAATGGAAACTGACAGAAAGAGAAGTGAGCACGCAAAAGCAATAGTATATAGCTATACCAAGTGCCTCTGTGTGCTCACTCTCTTCTGTCAATTTCTATGTTCCAACAAAAAATAGAAACATATGAGTAAATACTAATAAGATAGCTACCCAAATTTGGAAACCTCACAAAAAAATTATGTGCTTTTGAAAAAATCAGAAAGGGGAAAAAAAATTCATAATTGATTCAGATCTGAAGGAAAAGAGAGATAGCTGGAAAACAAAATAAAAGAAAAGTCTGTGATCCACCCATAATCTTCTTGGGGACTGAGCCACAACTTAATTATTTGAAGATTGTATTAGGGTTTACTACCTAACAAGAAACCAAGAAAAAAGGAGAAAGAGAAAAAAAAAAAGAAAAAAAGAAATTCGAAAATACAAATTTAAGAAAAGAAAAAAATGAAAGAAAGATAAAGACCACAACCACAAACACAAACACCAAGTCCAACCAGAACCTTGTTTAAAATTCTCTCTCTCTCTTTCTTTCGTCATTCATTGTGGCGGAGGTGGAATAGAGAGGCTGGCACCATCTTACTCATCATGCAACATGTAGAGATGCAAGATCCCCTCCATCAGGAAGGGAAAAGAGAATGAAAGGAAGGGTTGCATGACCCTTTGAGGGGTTAAGACCCATTTCAACCCCAAATGGAGATGGAGCACAGACAGAGACCCTTAAATAGTTGAATGCCACACACAAAATGGGTGGGGATGACTCTTAAAGAAACTTTTTAACCTTTGTTTTTTATTTGCGCACTTAATATATAATGACTATGAGCAAATTATCATTAACACTTATTATCACCACGCCACTCTCTCTCTCTTAGACACACAGACAAAATATGAATATGATGTTTTAGGAGAAGACAGAGAACACGAACGACATAATAAAAGTGAAGAAGAGAAAATAAATGTGTGTGTGCGCCTGTAGTGGGGGAGGAGTGTGCCAAGAGGATTTCACGGCTGTGATTTGGACATGATCCGTGAATGAGTGAGTTATGACCGTTGATGGAAAAGGGATATTCTGTGCCGTTGGATCCACGATGGGTGTGGAGACCACGTCACTGTGGATGTTGTCTTTATCGGGAATTGTGGTGATGAGACATAAGGACTGCGTCGTTTAGGGGAGACAACGATTGGGATAACCGCGAGCACATGTACAGTAACATTTCCCAAACATCATCTCGCCCTATTCTTCTGTATTTGTATTAGCAGTTTTATATTTCTCTTCCGTGGCTAGTCTATTAGATTTCAAGATAATCTCATCTATTTATTCTTTAATGAAGTGAGGATCGAATTTGTTACACTTGATCACGGAAGTTCTAATATCATGTAAAGAATAATTTTCAATTCAAAAGTTTATAAGTTGTTAGATGAGGTTACATTAATAATTTTATATTTTTGTAATACTTTGCACTTTCACTTTGTATTAATTATGGGTGTTCGCGGTCTGGATTGGATCAATTTTGGAAGCAAAAATCATCTGATCCAATCCTTTCGTTTGATCATGTAATCATCCTTTAGATTGTTTTTCAAATCCAATCAGATCTGATCCAATCCAATTTTTTTCGATTTGGATTAGATCGGTTTTCGGTTTTTAAAAATCCTAAAATTTATTTCATGATTATTGTGCAAGTAACATCTTTTGTACATATTGGCTTCGTAAAAAAAATTGAAATGCAAAAGCATCAGTAAACGATAATATAGTTTTTGTTTGGGGCAATGCGATATGAAGCTCTACACAGATAAAATTTTGTTGATAAGTTGTGACTAAGTTTTTTCTTGGGTTTAGTTGATGGGTTAATGGATCTTGGGATTAGAAATTTTTGGACTGTGATTGGGAAGGACCAAAGTAAGAAGAGGGAAATTAATATATTGGATCGGATTGGATTGGATCGATTTTCATTAACCAATCCGAAAACTGATCCAATCCAATTAAAATTTGCGGTTTTTTTTCAGTTTTCGATTTTTCGGTTTGGTCACCGTGGTTTGAATCAGTTTGGATCGGTTGATGATCACCCCTAGTATTAATCTTACCCTCTGCTCTACACTATTTCAGAGTGTGTTTTAAAACTCCGCCAGCCCAGGGTCATCCCTGTCGGGTCACTAACCTCCTCTCTCTGAAGGTTGGGGTCAGCAGCAGTTAGACTTTATATGCACATTGACCTCTCTGACCCCCCGAAACCTAACAGTTGAACCCGTGAATTAGGGGTGTTCGCGGTCTGGATTGGATCGGTTTTGGAAGCAAAACTCATCCGATCCAATCCCTTCGGTTTAATCATGTAAACATCCATTCGGTTTAGATTTTTTTTCAAATCCGATCCGATCCAATCCAATTTTTTTCGGTTTGGATTGGATCGGTTTTCGGTTTTTTGAATATCCTAAAATTAGTTTCATAATTATTGTGCAAATAACATCTTTTGTATATATTGGCTTTATAAATATATTTTTTTTGAAATACAAAAATATCATTAAACAATACTATAGTTGATGAGACGTGACTAAGTTTTTTCTTAGTTTTAGTTTATGAGTTAATGGGTCTTGAGTTTAGAAATTTTTGGGCTATGATTGGAGAAAGGACAAGTAGATAGAGGATAATTAATATATTGGATCGGTTTGGATTGGATCGGTTTTCATCAACCCATCCGAAAACCGATCCAATCCAATTAAAATTTGCGGTTTTTTTCGGTTTTCGATTTTTCGGTTTTCGGTTTATTCAGTTATCGGTTTTTCGGTTCAGTTTTCGCGGTTTGAATCGGTTTGGATCGGTTGATGAACACCCCTACCGTGAATCCCGAATCAGAACGGGTCACTGCATTCTTTTTTTAAAAAAAAAATTACACACAAAAGTACGTTGTTTGGTGTGTAAAAAAACAAAAACTCGTTCTTGCTTAGATCTAGAACTATATCTGAAATCTGAATCCTTCTTCTTCTTCTCTTCCGATCTTCTCTCCCAGACCCAGACCCAGTATCCCTGATCCGGTGATCTCCTCGTCGCGGTGGTGATTCCTTATATCCTCTTTATTCTTCTCTCTCCCTCTCCTCCACTGTGCTAGTTCTTCTCTAGCTACCCCCCTCCCACCGTTGATTCGTCGCGTCATCGCCTCTCCTCCGCCATTTTCTCTTGGGTAAGAGATCTTCTTTGATATGTTGTTGTAGGTGGGTGAGAAGGACAATGAGGGCCTAAGGTTGATGATATAACTTTTCATTAACTCTGTTGGAATATATGTTTTATACTTTGATAGTTTGATACTTTGATTATCTTGTGTAATATTGACTTGTGGACATAATTGGTTGAATTATGTTAAGTATATTTTGAATCTTTGATGATTGGTGGTTTGATTTTTTAAAATTTTTCATATAGGATATATATTTATATTTTTTTAATGTATAAAATTGGGTCAGCGAAGTGACCCTGTGACCCCTAACCTCGGCTGAGTCGATGGTCGAGCGGAGTTTTTAAACCCTATTTCAAACAATGTATGTAACCAATATTATTGATATTTAAATTAAAGAAAAGCATTTGTCATATTAAATTAGACAATTTTGTGTCATTTTATATGAAATGACATCGATTTTGTCTTTTTTTTTTACTTCCCTAATTTCACAGATTAAAGAGAATGAAAAAACTATCAAATATACATCAAAATGACGTTGTTTCCTCTGAAATGACACAAAATTATGTCATTTAAAATGACAATCACTTTTTCAAATAAATTATAATAGTTTTTATTTGTATATATAGACCACGGTTCAACTTATGTTTAATGAGAATAAATTCATGTCAATTGTATAAAATTTATGAGGTAAATATATCTCTACATATATATAGGGGTGGCAATTTGGGTTGATCCGTCCCGACCCGCCAAAAATTGGGCAGGGCGGGTTGGCCCGCCGTTGAATATGGGTTGAAAAATTGAACTCATCCCGTTTTATGGTGGGTTGGCGGGTCAACCCACCAACCCGCCAATTAAAAAATATTAATTAAAATTTAAAATAAAATTATATTTTGTGAATTTTTCTATTATTATTTTATCTTCTTTCACACTTCTCTTAATTTTTTTCAGTCTCAATCTTAAATGTATACTAATTTGTCAAACATTCTTTAGGAACTCATTTGCCTCCATGTATAGATAACATTTGTCATAAATAAAATTGTTATTCTTTATCTTTTATAGAAAGTATTAAGATAAAAAAAATTGGATATCACAAAAAGTTAATGACAAATGAAATACTACCAAATTGTAAAAAATATATATATATAACTCGACGAGTCAACCCGCCCCGCGGCGGGTTGAACCCATTTTGATCTACTTCTAGGCGGGGCGGGTTGAAGTGGGTTGGTGGGTTGAAAATCTCAACCCAAACTGCCCCGTTTTGGCGGGTTGACGGGTTGACCCGCCGAGCTCACCCATATTGCCACCTCTACATATATACAAAAGTGTGTGGGGCTTATGTTTTCTCTTTTCTCATCATATGGGTCCCACACACTTTTATGTGTATTTAGAAAATAAATTTACCTCATCATTAAACCCAAAATTTATATATATGTTTTGACTTCAAATGATACTTAGTAATAATGATTATTGCACATATAATTCGAATTTTTTCGATGTTGGGGTCAGTATGAAATTAGGGTAAAGAATATAATTAAATTAGATTAATAGATAATCATTAACAGTTATAAACAAAGATATTAAGGTTAGATACCAGAAATTGGATCAGGAATAGTTAATACGATATTGAGATAAATTAAGAATGAGAATTTTAATAACAAATTTTATAAATGAAAAAGATGAAATGATCATTATTAATATATTGACACAATGTATAAATAAATTGATAACATTCACCCGTTTATAGGAGGAGCTCTCCCAAAATAATTTTTTCATTGTAGGGGCACCATTTTTTCACCTCATGTTAAAAGACACATAAGAGGATTCATTCATATTCATATGAATAACACAGTTAATAAATGTGGATAATTATGCGTCACGTGAGTTTATAGTAATAATTGATAATTAATGTGCACATAAAATTTAAATTACTTGTATATGTTATAAAATTATGTATAACTTCAATTTTGAATATGAATTTTGTAACTGTTAGCACTAATGATGCAATTATCCCCAACTATGATTTCGTAACCACCACGCTAATTGAGCATTAACTCCTTCATTCATGTTGTAATCCTATATAAGTTACACATGTTGCTTGGATGGAAAAACTCTCCAAAATTAGAATTCTATCATATTTCTCTTTATCTTCTCTCTTTTTCTCTCACTTTATATTGTAAGATGTCTTCATTTTGTTTTAATATTTTATGTGGATCTTTTTAAGGCAAGGGGCCAACTCCATCACTCGCAAAGGTCCTTTTTAACATAAAACAAAGGCAATAAAATTACTATTTTCATATATAACGAAAATTAAGAGAGATATATGCACATAAACCTCATTAGTATTGTTTTAGAATCTGATTGGCATATTTTGTTTTTAAGCTAAAAACTACTTTTAAGTTAAAGTTAAAAAAAGAGCTTAAAAAATAAAGCTAAAAACTGTTTGATAATTTTATAAAGTTGTTCCCTGTGTTTTGAAAGGAGAGAGATAAAATGATTTGTTATTAAGGTAAATT